TACCGCTTTGGATCTGATTCTATCTATCAAAGGAGTCAAAGACCGATTAAAGAAATTTAATCTCGATGATGCTTTCTTTTCGCCGTTCAATATTGTTCTTCAAAAAGGCAGCTTAGATGCTAGAATTAGAGCCGCTAGGGTTTTGGAATCACTCGCCGTGTTCGATAACGAATCTCGACGAGTAATCGCTGACCAAAAAGGCTTATTGAACGAGCTGTATCATTTTACGAACACCCTTACCGATTGGACGGCTATTGACGTCGGATTAGCAGCTCTTATCGCGATTTCCACTTCCAGGCAGGTAAAAAAGGAGCTGGTCCGGCTGGGGATAGTGAGGACAGCAGCAAGGATCCTGTCCGATTCTGAAAATCCTGTTGGAATGATGGAAAAAGCTATGAAGGTACTGCAGATGGTATCGACGTGCAGGGAGGGACGGACAGCGATATCAGAGGACGAGAAATGTGTGACGGCCGTCGTTCAGCGGCTGATAAAGGTTTCAACGGCGACGACGGAGCTCGGAATCGTAATGATATGGAGCGTTTGTTACATGTGGAGAGATCGTAGTGCTCTGGAAGCGGCGATGAGGAACAACGGTTTGACGAAGGTGTTGTTGGTGATGCAGAGCAATTGCTCCGGCAGCATCAGGCAAATGTGTGGGGATTTGGTCAAGCTTTTCCGAGTTAACTCAGACTCATGTTTGGCGAGCTACGAGACTCGGACAACTCACATTACGCCTTATTGACTCGCTCTATTATCCTTTTATTTTTCTTTCTTTTGAAGAAAACAAATTTTGTGAGTTAAGTCAAAACATGTTGTAGTTGTACAAAAGAAAACGATAATTGTTCTGAAATGAAAATACTGAAATTCGTATTTTGTGTTTGTTTTTTAATACAATAATAACTTAAAATATAAATTATTTTAAAATATTTGTAAGCGTTTTTTCCCTAAATGCTTACCCGGTAAGTGCTTATCTATAGAAGTCAACACTATAATATTTTGATGAGTAAAATTTTAGTACACCAAAACGTATTAAATACAACAACTTACTAGGTAAGCGCTTACCTGGGTAAACGTCGTAATATTCATTTACCGGGTAAGAATCTCCATCATTCTCATCGCTTTTACCCGGTAAGATTCTTGGCCCTTGTCATGTTCATCCGATAAGAAAATTTATTCAGTAAGCACTTATCAAGTAAACGTTTAGTAAGTAGCCCCTGACTCCAAGAAAACTAAATGTCACAAGCACAGTCTTTAGCAAACCACAATTCCTAGAATGTTGGACAAAATACTAGTTGCAGTTTCAAATTTTCAACGACGAAATAGAATCAAAATGTTAGATAAAGTTACGTATTTAATTATTGGTAACAAGAATATTGTGACATAACACCAAACCAAATTTAGTTAGCATCTTGATATTCTATATTCATATTCCAATTCCTAGCTAGAATGTTCCCCATTTTTTCCGTCACAAATGGTTACTCGATAGTTAATCTTTCAAATTCCAATCACATCATTAGGTGCCATATATAAAATTATAAAGGGTCTGTCGATAAACAAGTTGTAAAATGGCTTAGAAAGTTGTATGAACATGGGATGCTTCAAGGCTCAAAAGGGCTCAGTGGAGGAAACTCAACCTGATATTCAGATGATATGTTGTTGGGGTAATGACACAACATTCCTTTTGGGCTCGCTTCTGGAGACTTTTAGAGAGTGGGTTATGACAAGCCTTAGAGAAGCAATTATGCCCTACCAAGTCACCCATAAAGAAATAATAACACTACCGGCTTCGGTTATTGATAATGATTATATCCTTTTAGTTGGGTTATCAATCTGATTGGAAATACTTGATACGATAATTGAACAAATTTTCTATTTGCTTGTGAAATGCTAAGAAGGTAGGTAGAACATATGATTATATTTGTAAATGAAGCAACTAGAAAAATTAAGTAAAATCATTCACAAAAACTACATAATATCCATATCGAAGATAAAGTATGGGAGGGTCCCCATACATAAGAGAAGACGAGATGATATAGGTGTTCGGGACTTGGAAGTTGAAGACGAATGAGATAAAGTATGAGAATTTTGTTTTTTTTTTTTAATTAACCTGGATATCCAACCCGCTATGCGAGCCGACTAATCCCAGAACGACCACCTGTTTTGCAGATAACGCAAAACACCGCATTTGAACATCCGTGGCCACAAGGGGATTTTTATTTCTCCTTGGATTTGAACTTGATACCTCTTGATACTTTTGACCTTTGGAGCCAAGCTCAAACCAATCAGACACAACTCTTGTGGTTCACAATTAATTATGCATAGAGCACAAAAAAAACCCGACCCATAAAAACACAATCCTAATAAGCCCAGTCTAAGCCCAGGCCAAAAAGCCCAATTAGAACAACTATTTTTTCAAGGCTGATTTTGAGTTTTATGCCAAGACACAATAATATATTAAATTTAGTAAAAAAGGGTTTTTAGCTTTAAAAAGGGAGTTTTATGCCAATTCGTTGGAAATCGACATATAAAATGCTTGAACATTTGTTACGTAAAATAGAACCAATTTTGACTTTTTATCACATAAATCATGAGAAAAACATGCGAATCTGATTGGGTGGGAATCATATAATTTGTATAATGTTTTTATGATTTTACGAATCTTTTATCACATGCATACTATTCATCATTTAGTTTATCAATTCTACGGTTATTAATAATAACTACAAACTTATAAATTTATTAATTTAATTATGTAACGATGCATGCATTACATGACACGAGAGCTAAATTACTAAAATGTTGTACCGAATTACCCCATCTTTATACATATACCATAATATATTAAATTTAGTAAATGGGTCGTTTACCAAATGCTTACTCGATAAACGTTTACCGGTAAAATTTAACACTATTATTTGCTTACCGGGTAAAATTTTTGTTCACCAAAACGGTATCGTATGCAACAATTTACCCGGTAAGCTCTTACCGTGGTAAGAGTCGTCCCCCTCACTTACAGGGTAAGACTCATGATCAGTGCCTCGCTCTTACCGAATAAGATTCTTGGTACTTACCATATTCATCCAGTAAGGTAATGTGACTTGGTGTTCACTTACCCGAGTAAGCGTTTAATAAACAGCCCCTAAGTTTAAATTTAAGTGAATTATAAGTATGTACATAACCACTATTTTTTTTTCTTTTTTGCTTATGCTAAAATGAATTTAGAGAATCGATATTTTGCAGTGGTGGAGGAAACACCAATCACAATTCCGTAATGGCTCGATGTTTACTAATGGTCCAAGCTAGCATTGCTGCTTTGGAATCAATCTTTTCAGTGGCAAGATTCTAAACAATTGGATGTCACTATCTTCTAGAAAAACCGATGGGAATAAATATGTGTTTCAAAGATTACTACAACAGCAACGGCAGAATTCAAGACAAAGAGTCATTGAAGAACAGTTTTTCTTAAAATCGAAGATGACGTATTGAAGAACGGAAAAAAAACATATTCACAACTTTAAACGCCATAGATGAGGACTTAGAAAATCTCCTTAGAAGATAAAATAGACAAAGCCTAAGAATAGTCAAGTATGAAGTAAGAAACCAATATATAATTAAAAGACAAAAGTTAAACATTCTAAGGGGGTGTTTGGGATTTGCTTATGTTTTTCTACAAAAGTCTTTATCAACTTATTATAAGTCAATATGGTTTAACTTCTTTAAAAACTTCTTATTACCGATTTGGTACCGGTATAAGATGTTTATCCAAACACTTAAAAATGTTTATCACCGGTGTCAAACCGGAATAAGTCAATAACTTGTTTTTATAAGCAATCTCAAACACCCCCTAAGCCAACTCAAACAGATAAAATAAAAAAACATAAAAAATTTCAAATCCTAATGATTTTAATATTTTAGATAATTTGTATTTATTTTTTAATAATTTTGAATTAATTTAATTGGTGTAATTATTAAATCGTTGCAGTTAAAATGCTAGACTAAAAAAGGCAAGTATCAGAAAAGCCCGGTCCAACATTAAAGTCACAATCGAGTTCATTTTTACATTATAATTAGAAATGCATAAAAAAAACCCGAGAAACTTAACCAACCCAATTAACTTAATTCAAAGCCATCTAGTATCTAATCGAGTTGAAAAATATTAAAATTGTAAATATTGGGTTGGATATGGGTTATGATCATTTGAACCCAACCCAACTCAATGAACCCTAGGTTTTTCTATTAAAATGGATATAATATGATTGTTAATTACTTAATCAGTATATCTAGTTAGCTTTAATAGAAAGTCTCACGCAAATATCTTTAAATATTTCTTATGTAATTGTTGGTTTTATTTGTATTCTCTCATTTTGATTTCACTAAATTGTTTAACCCAACCCATACAGTCTGGATTAGATTGGATTGTACTGTGGTTTGAATTGAGATTTTCCAAACCGTAAAAATTGGAATGGGTCATTCAAATGTCTTTAACCCAACCAACCCAACCCTTACAACCTCGTTTAGGTTGGATTACAATTTTTTTTAGGATGGATTGAGTTGATACAAATCTAACTTAATAACGGGTTTTAAAGACTTGGACCCAAACTCGAAACCATGGACTATGCACAACTCTAAGAGTACGTATATACATAATGTATTTTAACACCAAATTATGGTAATAATAAAAAAAGTTTAATCATTATTAGGGATATAATTTAAAAGCTTTTTTATAGTAGAGTAGAAGGGTGTTTTAGATTGCTTATTTGAAACAACTTATAATTTTCTACAAAAGTATTTATCAACTTATTATAAGTCAGAATGATTTAACTTATTCAAAAACTTTTTATTACCGGTTTGACACCAATATAAATTATTTATCCAAACATTAAAAAATGCTTATTACCAATGTCACATCAAAATAAATAAATAAGTTATTTTTATAAACAATCTCGAACAATACTAAATTCTCGGAGAAAACCTAGTTTGGGAAGTGGTGAAAATGTAGGTGGTGCCAACGTCCTCGATTGGTTGAGGTTCCTTTGATACATCAAATCCAATCGGTAACAATTCTCCAATCCTTCATCAATGGAAAAACCCAATTCCCTCATTCCTTCAATATCTCCTCATTCTTCCGCTGATTTCAATTCATTCTTCATCCATGTCAACACCCAAATCTTATCATCATCATCTTCTTCTTCTTCATTGCGACACCCCTCAACCAATCTCAAATTCGCATCAACTTCAATCTCTTTGGAAACCTCCCAATCTCAATTCGATAAAACCCCATCAAACCGCAACTCTCTAAACTCCACTGCTCGAGGTCGAGGCTCACACAAGACTATCACTCTTTTCAAGACTCTTTCTGTTTTTGAACGTGCCCTCATCGGCGCAGGTGCCGGAGGTATCGCCGGCGCTTTCACCTATGTCTGTCTCCACCCACTTGACACCATCAAAACGAAACTACAAACCAAAGGAGCATCTAAGATTTACGAGAACACCTTCGATGCAATTGTCAAGACTTTTCAAAGCAAGGGAATTCTAGGGTTTTATTCAGGCGTGTCGGCTGTGATTGTAGGGTCAACTGCCTCTTCTGCCATTTACTTCGGGACCTGTGAGTTTGGTAAATCTGTGTTGTCTAAATTGCCGAATTACCCACCTGTACTAATCCCCCCAACAGCTGGTGCAATGGGTAATTTAATTTCTTCAGCTATAATGGTGCCCAAAGAATTGATCACTCAAAGAATGCAGACAGGGGCAAAAGGGAGATCTTGGGAGGTTTTGTTAAGGATTTTGGAGAAAGATGGCATTTTGGGTCTTTATGCAGGTTACTCAGCTACATTGTTGAGGAACTTGCCTGCTGGGGTTCTGAGTTATTCCTCTTTTGAGTACTTGAAAGCTGCAGTTTTGATCAAGACAAAACAAGCCAATTTGGAGCCACTTCAGAGTGTGTGTTGTGGGGCACTGGCTGGTGGCATTTCTGCTTCATTAACCACACCTTTGGATGTAGTTAAAACCAGGTTGATGACTCAGGTTCATTCAGAAGCTGTTGAAAAGATTGCTTTTAGTGTGTCCGAGACTGTCAAGCAGATTTTAAAGGAAGAAGGGTGGGTGGGATTCACACGAGGAATGGGACCTAGAGTCGTTCATAGTGCTTGTTTTTCAGCCATAGGGTATTTTGCATTCGAGACGGCTAGGCTTACAATTTTGCACGAGTATCTTAGGAGAAAGGAGCTTGAAGACATTGTCGTTCCCTCTGGAATTACGAGTTCCACCTAAGTTCTACTGGCTTTCATGATAATTCCTTATACCCTTTATGAGTTTATGTTCCATTTTTCTAATTGGTTATGCCAAGTGTTTTTGTAAGCCTAGGTTCTTTGTTATGATTGTACCAATGTTGTTACCTTTAATAACTGTAAGCAATAAGGTTATGCTCGTTTCGATCATAGTAGAACTATTATGTTTCTTGAATGTCTTAATCAGTTAAGTCATAGTATCTTATTGTAAAAGGGGGTGAAAAACTATTTATATGCTATCATGTTCACCTTCAGGATCTCAAGCACCAACTCTTCACCAAAGTGTTGAGCAACAGAGGTGTGTGGTGATAGTGTGTCAAATGGCTACTTATAACTGGTCTTGTTAGGTTTGTGTCCATTTGATTCTGTTTATATAATGATTGATGTTTGTGACTTGTTTAGAATGATGATATTGAATTTATTTTGGTAGGAAAGTGATGTACCAATTACTGTTGCTAATTGTTGTTATCATGTATAGCTAGCTAGGTGGGAAGGTTTAAAGTTAAAAACACAATAAGGCCCAAAGTTGGCTGAACGGGAGGTCGTAGGTTCCTTCTGTTGGGTGCTATGGGTCCATGTCTATTTTCATAAGACAGAGGTTTGTTAGTTTGGGTGCGTGTATTGGTCATGGTAGACTCGGATCCCATGGATTTAGTCGAATGCCAAATGGTAACCATCTTTTTAATCTTATTTGTTGGATCATTTCATCTCATCGTCGACCTCTATTCTTACCCTCTCAAACTTTTTGCATTCTCATTTGAATATATATATATAGAGGAGTGATCAAATAAAAACCGACCTCATTTGTGTAAACCGTGCAAACCACCTTCATCCGTCGATTTCATTGTTTAATCTTATGAAATTTTTTCATGAAATTGTTTAATCTTGTGAAATTGTTTCATATAATACTTTTTTTGATCAAGTTGTTTCATATATGGTTGTGAAATTGTTTCATATAATACTTAATGAAACTGTTTCATGTATTTCTCTAAAATTAATGAAACTGTTTCATGTATTTCTCTAAAAATTAAAATAATAAAGATGATAATATCTATGATTAACACTCTCCACAATAAAAATGATTAATCAACCTCTCATAATTACAAAAAAATGAACAAAATGAAAAATTATGATTGGTTGAATGAGGTTTGCACGGTTTATACAAATTGAGTGGTTTGCATTTGATCGCTCCCCTATATATATATATATATATATATATATATATATATATATATATAGAGAGAGAGAGAGAGAGAGAGAGAGAGAGAGAGAGAAAAGCCACTTCAAATATAAACCGCACAAACCAATCTCAACCGTCCATGCAAGTTATGAATAGCAACGATGTGGATTAAATCGGTTCCGGAATTCACTCTCAACCTTACTTGCAACTGATTTGGTAACTGTTTAAAAAAAAATTAAATACACAAGACTGAGATTGGTTTGTACGGTGGATAACATTTCTTGTAATCTTACCACCTTTACAAACTATAATGACAATGTAGCATTCACACCATATAGGGTATGTTCACTATTTTTCATGCTTCTCATCAAAAGAGTCGAAAAACCACAAAAAACGGATGAAAAAAATATATCAATATGATTGTAAAACTAAAAACAATAAAATAACCGTTTTTAAATCCCAAAAAATCATGGTCATGATCGCCATCGCTCGATCTCTCTCTTTTTCTCTAACTTTTATGATCATGAAAGAAACTCATTATCTTCATCAACCTTCATCAACCTTGAATCGATTACAATTTGCTACCATTGATAAAGATGTTTTGAGAGGCATGCGAATAGAATCTGGATGTTAGGTACCCTTACCGTGAGTAATGGTCTTCCTAGGGGTGTTTGCGGTCCGGCTTGTACGGTTTAACCCCCAAACCACAAACAAACCCGCAATGGTGGTTTAGAAAATTTTTAAACCGAGCGGTTTGGTAGCAAGTGGCCAAACCGATCAAACCGGACCACAAAAAAACGTGATAATCTGGTCTGACTAGTTTAAGCGATTTGGACCTCTCATAAGCTTTAAACTAAAAAAACATAACATTTATATTTAAAACAAAATTTTTACCAATAAAACTTTATTGAAAAATAGTATACAAAATTATAAAAAAAAAAAAAAAAAAAAGTCTATGTTTAAGATTTAAAAACAGACATACATCAAGTTCAAAAAATAAAAAATAAACAAATCCACCAAAACTGCGAATAAAATTGAGAATATTGAATGACAATTTGGAATTTTAGATTTGATTTTCGATGAATTTTAGAATGTTTCCATTTTAGATAACGTAGTTAAATGAAAAATGAAAAATGAAAAAAAAAACTAACATAATGTCGTTGACAAACTTTTTTTAATTGTGTTATAAAAATTGATCCTGCTAAATATAGTTAATGCATGCGTATTTTTGGCGTCGGTTCAATCCAGACTGTTCAAAACACGTTCAAACCGCAAACAGACCGTACCAAGTGGTTTGACTATTTGTCAGACCAAAACTGACAACCAAATCGCTCAAACCGCCAAAAACAGTCTGATTTGACTTGGTTCGACCGGTTTGAGCGTTCCAATGGATTTCTTGAACACTCGTAAGTCTTCCTCAAAGGTTTGATCGATTCCTGAATGTTCTTCAAAATACACGAGTCTATCACCACCACTGTATCTCTCTAATTATGCAAGCACATGTAAATGTTCTTTAAATTGTCTTACGGGCGTGGAATTTGACTCTTCTAAGTAAAACTTCGATCCTTATAATGCATGCACATGTGAATCAAAGCAATTCAATGGTTAAGCACATGTGAATCAATGCTTGCATATGTAAATGTTCATTAAAATTCGTATTCAAGTGTGAAATTTCACAAGAAATTTTTGATTATGTGGTCTTATATGAGGTTTTACAATACATCTAAATGTGAATACTCATTAAAATCCTTTTACAAGCATAGAATTTGAATCTTGTATTACAATATATTCAAATGTGCATCCTCAGTGTTTTGAATACATCGAATAAGAGCGAAAGAAATGCTCCAAATCCAAATACTTATTTTTCCAAGTTCACCGATGGAGCAAATAGGCCACTAGAAATAGACTCATAAACGGCATTGGAGATAATGTTCAAGATGGTTGCGATGAAGGATCCACCAAAGATGAGCATCTGGATGCCTCGCCATTGTAACAAGGACACATGCGAAACTATATGACATTACTTGAAGATTCACATGTAAATTTATATTTGAACTGTAGTGAATAGGTCTATATAAATTATGTTATTGGATGCCTGATTCAAGGGTAACACTCGAATGAATTTCTATTAGCAATGCTTACAAAATTGAACCTCACTTTAAAAGTTCTCTTTTGAATAATCACAAGGGTGGTGCCTAATTGGTTTGTGTTTGACTCCAAAAGTCAAAAGTACCAAGATGTCCCATATTCAAATCCAAAGAGGAATAAAAATCCTCTTATGGCCATAGAGGTTCAAATACGGTAACTCCGGGGTATCTACAAAGCAGGTGGTCGTTCTAGAATTAGCCGACTCGCATAGCGGGTTAGATATCCAGGTTAATAAAAAAAAATGTTCCAATACAAGAAAATTTGATAAATAATGGTAATGATGTAAAATCATCTTGGTTGGGAAACAAAAACATATGACAATGTTTCATAACAAAATGCACATGTGAATATGCGTAACAATGATTGCTTAAATTATGGAAAACAATGGGGTTTACATAGGCATCTTCATTACAATAATCTTCATTTAATTCGACTTTAGTTGATATGAACATCAAGGATAATTATCTAAATGACATAAAATAAATATTTTCATCAATATTCCATTTTGTTGATGATTATTTAAACGATAATAACGATTATGGAAATGATTTGAGATAAATTAGAATATAAACAACATTCTCATGAGTATCTTAAGATCAATTCAATCTAATGGATGTGAATTCTCATTTTTTTTGCCTTCCTTATTTGAACATGTTCTTATATAGCTGAGTTTCGGTATCAGTTTTCATGAGAATTATGAGAACCATGGGTAACCATCAATGGCTTTTTCTGGACACCCCTTTGATCGACCCTGTCACATCAACCCTGTCTGTCACCTCTTTGCATTCTTGTTTCAAGCTTTTTTTTATCACAAGCGCTTAATTTTATAGTTTATCCGTAATGAGATTCAATGTCATAGCTGAGAGTTGGCCTATCTACAACACCTAGCGTAAAGAGTCCGCTAATCAAAGTGATAAAAGTCTAAAAGTGAAATGGGAATTAGTACCTTTGCCAGCTCTATGTAGTGCCAGAAAATACCATGAGGCACATACATGGCATCAAGAACAAGATCCCAGTAATATTATCTTTGTGATTACCATGAGGCACATGCATGGCATCAAGAATAAGGTTTATTACTATATAACATAAATCATGGAGGCTGGTTTTCAAACATTTTACTGATGTTTGACAAAAGGAAGATAGATACATGCATGCATCCTGACATTAATACATATCTCAACATCACCTCAACCATAACAAAAAATGGACTGTGCGGCGTGCGCTAAGGAAATCAAGAAAGACAATTTCATGCCATAATTGTGTCGCTGTTGCTTGCAACATTCATAGAATGTAATTACTAAAAAAGACTTGACATGGTTGTTTAGGTCCAAAAATGTTTCTATTGTTATACTTTTCTTTATGCTTTAGTGCCTGCAACATATTTTTTCTCTACAACAGCACTAACAGTCGTCGAGTTTGCAGATAGGCAACCATTGGACACCAGAAAAGTCAAACTTGGACTCATTGTTCTAGGATAGAGTGAGTGTACGTATAAAAGTTCAGACGAAACAAAACATTACCTTGTATTTTGGGAACTAATATTGATGCATCCCTAGATTTGTCTTTGCTGTTTAGCTAGTTCTGCTCCAGCCACCAACATATAAATTCCCTGGCATTATATAAGAGAACATACATATCATAACCTTGGAAAATATATAGTAAGCTACATTACCAAACAAATTTTAAGAAAAAATACCTTTCAGATAGAAGTCGTCTGCTTAACCTGGAGTTCTTGTGCTCACTTATCGCAGTTAGGTTGGATAAAGAATTATGTCGTTAAGAAGCTTGTAGCTGTCAGCAAGATCCGACTTGGAGGCCAAAGAAATGAAGCAATCCCCTCCCATGTCCAACATCATTAAAGATGAGGATGAAAACAACAGTAATGAAAAAGTACCCTCATCCAGTTCCGATTGGGTATGACAAAAGTTGTTTATTTTCCCTCTCGGAAGTTCATAAGAAAAGTAGCTCAAAAGAGCATACTGGAGTTAGAAGCCACGAAATCCTAACAAGTACTACTAAAGTTTTAGCTTGCACAAATCAACTATGTTCATCCACAATAGCTAATAACAGATCAAATAAATGGATTGTTCGTTTCAGCAATGTGTGTTTCATTATACAATATTCTCACCAAATCAGAAATGGTAATACAAGTGCATATTCGTTTTCGTGGAAAGAATTAAAAATTACAAACGCTGCTAGAAATAACATCCTCCTCACCTCGAAATCTATATTGGAACCGTAAGGGAGGTCGAACATTTATAAGGTATCTCTAAACAAAAGAAACCAAATTACAATATGGCAAACATCACCATAAGAATCAGGATTGGCCTAACATTACATGTTTACAGTGGTTCTTCAGTCACATCTTGACTGCTTGCAAGAAAAATATAGAAATCAATTCAAGAAGCTTTGATTCATAGGATTTATGCTATAAACCTTCTAAACTCGAACCAGATCTCATAATGATTGAAGAGTAGACTATCATGTGTATGTTTTCCCATATATTCAAGCCCTAGACTTTTGAGTCTCTTAGTACACTCATCTCCTCCCAATCGCGAACAGAACTTAATGTTGTGCGACACAAATATTCTTCCATCCAAAGGTTTCAATTGACTAACTAACCTCTCTAATCCGACCCACACAAGCTTGTCAGGCATATGAAGAAATACAGCACTAGCATAAACTAAATCATACATGAATCCAGATCCAAATCTGACGAAATCCATATCTTCACCTTTCATGATCAAAGGACGCTTATATAATAAACCTTGAGCAGGAAGTTCATACCTAAATGCAGCCATAAGAGAGAGCTCATCCCTCTCGAGACAATGGAAGTGTTCCGGCATCAAGTAACGAATAAAATGCAAGCCAACTCGAAGCGTGCCACATCCAATCTCAAGAACACGTGATTCTGGAATCAAACGAGAAGAAGCTGCAAGGAACTCAAATACATCTCTCCCACCAGCCCAGGGCTCACCATAGTTACTGTGGTGCTCTTCTACAAGGAGTTCACCTGGACAAGGAAAAGCTGTGTGGTTCTTTGCCTCCTCTTGCTCGTAATGTGATATGCCTTTGTACCTATAATTACAATTATGGTAGAACATTAATATTTCGAAATCAGTTTCTGCATACTCTTTTTCCTTTTTTCAGCACATGTAGTCGACATAAAACAAATTTTTTTGCTGAATCAGAATGGATCACAGTGACTCCTACAGATGCAGTTTAGACTATCTGTGAAATTATATCAATCTCATCAAAGTCATACTTCACAAGTAAAGAATTTCTTGTTTTGAAAACCATTAAGACTAAAAGGTTTTATTGGGCATTAAGTGGAGCTAAGCGATAGAGTAAGAGGAAATAAGGGGGATGCCTAAGTGGATCCATAAGCAGTTCGTTATAATATATTAAAATAAAAATATCTTTTGATAGAACTACTTCATATGTGACTAATTTCTTGCTCTAGAGATAACAAATTACTCAAATATGATTGAAAAGACGCCCTCCAAGTTGAGAGAAAAATACAACTGATGAAGCCAAACTCAAGAAAAGAAACTAACTTGCTTAACGTTCTGAAATGCTTAACTCATAAATTATTTACTAACCGAAGTGGCAAGAACATGTTAACCCCTAGGCATCCAATTAAGTAGCCCTAACTAATCAAAGCATCGAGGGGATGCTCAACTCCTAGATGGCTGCTTACAAAGCCCTATGTAGAGATTTTTAGAACAAACTTGTCCCATACAATAACAATGATAACCAAATTAGTTATTGGCCATTGGGTCGAAATATCAAAACTCGTATATTGCAAATAACTATGCAGAGAGTGGAACCTGAACCATGAAAACCAAACGTTTCTCTTGCTTGGTTTACCATGATGTACATATGATTGGACTAGAACTTACAAACATAAGTGAGAAAGAAGAACCTACATACTAAAAGCTTGATTCACACACAGGAGGAATCATGGATAGCAGCATATATAAGAAGAATGTTTATATATGTAATAAAAATTATGACAGTAGAATTGAATAAATAGTTGTACTTGTACAAGACAAATATATCGAGTTTCGTAGTCAAGATCAGTAAATTGGAAGACGCTGCTTTTGAAAATGATTACAGCTCCCACTCCCAGCATTTGAACTCAAGCAAGTTTCAAATCCTTAAATGAGAATTGGGGCTCGGATCATATATTTGTTTTCAACTTCATGTAAGCACCATCGTCACTTGGTCAGTATTCGGAAATTAAATCTAAGTAGAGCATCCCTATAAACACCATACACCATCATCTTAGGTTATATAAATCTGAAATTATTAGCCCAATCACCATCGCTCAAAAAAGTGGACACTATCAATTAGCACAACACCAGATAGCAGCTCCAAGTAGATCTTTCCTCTTTTATATGTAATTCATAAATATGTAATCATTCAGTGATCTTTTTGATTTACATCTAAACCCTAAAAATGGATTTAAAATGGAATTGGCGTTTTGTTTGCGTGTGTAGACATTGAAAAAGGACATCTGCAACTCAATCAAAGAAACCCAATTCCAAAATGAGGCTATTGTTCGGATGCTAGCAATGCTCATTGCTTTTCTATAGTCTAGAACAATTCAAAGTGAATCTTAAGTCTTCAAATTATAATCCGTCGAAGCATATAAACCATGCCTAGAATCGCGACAAATCAGAAAACGAGTATATTAATTAGTAACTCTCCCAAATTCAATCTTCCAACTAGCACATAAGATTAATAAAGAAAGGGAGTCAAGTGATTTTACTGGATCAAATCTTGAAGCTGCTGAGCACGAGTACGAGGATTAATGCCCTTGCGGAGCACATTGTCTTGCATATGCAGTCCATTCAGTTCGATCTGAGACTTCACCCACTCTACATCCTCCTCCGTCGTCAAGATCCGTTGTTGATGCCCAGTAGTTTGGACGACGGCAGGGGAAGCGGTGGTGGGACAAGAACAGGAGGTCGGCGATGAAGAAGAGAGGAGGAAGAAGAGGAAGACGGCGGCGGCGGCAGCGGAGAGCACCAATACGGGTATGGGTATTAGAATTCCCTTGGGGGAGGAGGAGAGAGCCATGTGAGTGAGAGTGTCAAGAGTGTTGATTCAGACGATCTCTACTAGATCTATCATGTGCCGTTTACATGTTCCCAAACCAAAATCAATGAAATTTGTTTGATGTAAAACGATGATCCTTTTATTAAATAAAATTTGGACGAAACAACATTGTCAACTAATAAACAATACATGATTTATGGGACCGTTTACTTAAATGTTTATCAGGTAAGTGTTTATCATTAGGAGTCAATACTATAATTTATTTTACCGGGTAAGATTGTAGTACATCAAATGGTATCGTATACAACAATTTACCCGGTAAGATTGTAGTACATCAAATGGTATCGTATACAACAATTTACCCGGTAAGCACTTACCCGGGTAAGAGTCATCACCCTCACTTACCGAGTAAGACTCTTCATTTTATCACTGTGCTTACCAGATAAGATTTTTGACTCTTGTCATGTTCATCCGGTAAGAAAAGTTACCCGGTAACCACTTTACGGGTAAACGTTTAGTAAACGGCCCCTAAGTTTGGTGCAATTAAAGAAATCATTATTCAATTGAGTTGAAAGTCGAAAAATGACAACTCATCATCTTATACACATGGTTAGTGGACTATCCGTTGAGACAACTAGTAGAAAAGTTGGTTGTAAAGTGCTGGTCTGATCGACTGAAGCGCAAAACAGTTGAGCATGTATTAAAGCTTCTAATGAAGCTTGGCCCTCGCCTCATCTGATCCAACAAATAATAAATGATTGTGACGAATTAAAAGTTATCAATTGGGTATGAGTTTATTGTCCAATTGAAGCAATAAGCTTTGTCTTATTCACTTTAAAGTAAAAAGTTGATCAGACTACGTGGTATGAAAGCTCAAAAGGCCAACCTGATGGTACTATACGTCATGCACGTCTCTAAATCAACATTTAATGTAGTATGGCTTGCATTAAATATAATGGCTAATGGTTGTGGAGAAGGGAAGTTATGGTGAGAAGCATAAGAAGATATTTGAATCCTTGATCATTTTTAATCTTATGTCCATCCATGAATTGTGCTTTAGAAAAGGTGCATCCCGGTGCATCTCGGTGCATCCTATTAATGTTGACATCCAATTATGGTTGATCCTGGGGTGGAGATCTGTTCTTATACTTTTTACAATAACTTCATTTCTCACCGAAACTCAACTCTAAAATATAATATGGCTTGTGTTAAATGCATCATGAGCGTATTAAGCACTTCATAGGAGACAACAATTCCAACAACTCCAAAAGACAGCAAGTAAATCACTAAATGGTACGGAAAGAGATCCACCATGACGTGTTCAAACAATTTTCAAGAGATCAAGCTTCAAGCATTAATACGTTTATACTCGTGAGAGCTTTCCGGTTTCTGACTTTAAAGTATACACTTCGAATGAATTGTGTGAGGCATGGAAGCGTTTGGTAAACGAGTAAGCGTTTATCGACAAGAGTTACCATCAGTGCTTACCTTATCAAGACATTCTCAGCCATCAAAATAGATTGTTGGCAAATGTCTCTTACCCAGTAAGCGCTAACAGAGTAAAAATCTTCTCTCGCACATACCGGGTAAGATCCGCGGTCCTTGCCATGCTCACCCAGTAAGGTAAGTGACGTCCGATAAGTGTTTGGTAAACGACCTCTTAAATTACATGCTGATTTATAATTTATACTAGAAAGAATTTGTATTCAAACCCCTTCCAACAATTATTAATGACATAGTTAACCTAACCAATGGTTTCCGATGTATGCCATTTGCAACTTTTCTATTACAACCAGTAGAATCGAAGTTAATAAGTTATGTAGTTCTTTTGTGTACCTTAATGGCAAATCTGAATCTTTTAGCTAGTCTACCATGTATAAAAATGTCTCTAAATAACTCGTGATGGTTTTGTTATTGAACGTTATGACATCAAGGTTTTGCGTCGCCATATTAATCCATGTTCCACTTTTAAGACTTAGGGGCCGTTTACCCAATAGCTTACCCGGTAAGCGATTACTGATAAGAGTCTAACACTGTGATTTATTTTGGTGCGTAAGATTTTAGTACATCAAAACATATCGAATGCAACAATTTACTAGGTAAACGCTTACTTGGGTAAGAGTCGTCATCCTCACTTACCGGATAAAACTCTTCATCATTCTCATCGCTCTTACCCGGTAAGATTCTTGGTCTTTCTCATGTTCACCCGATGAGGAAATTTATCCGATAAGGTACTTACCAAGTAAGTGTTTAGTAAACAACCCCTTAACTTCCATTGTAATACGTTATGGTATGTTATAGCATGCTATGGCACTTTATTTTGTAAGACATGTTTTTTTTAAAACTTTTTCGAACATACAACTTGTCAGATAAAATAGGTAAACCCTTACTCTCATTCCCGTACACAATGAATCGAACATGAATATTCTGAAGGTTGAAAAAAGTAGTAAGTGGAAACTTAAAAACCTTTAGGGTGCGTTTGGTGTGCAGACAGGACTGGACAGGACATGACGGGACATGACAGGACAGTTGTTCAGCGTTTGGTAAGACAGGACAGGACAGAACAGAACTGGTTAAAATGACCAATTTACCCCCAATGAGCTGTTTAATGTTTTTTCACTAAGAAATGCATTCTGGTAACAGTAGGATCAATAGTCAATAAGGATTTGATCTTTTTGTTGATAAACCCAAGTGCTGTCAAGTTCTTCTAAATCAGAAACAGCAAACAAAATGCAAATCGAGTAGAAATATGAGTCAGAAACAGCAAGGTCAAGTTCTTCTAAATCGAGTTATGCAAAATCGAGAAGGTCGATTACCTGAGAGATAGGGCAAACCCTAAATCGTCCAGATGAAGGAGAAGGTACGGCAATAAAGCAAACAGCCGATGGTGGAATCCGCTCGGGAGCCGATCGCCGATTGATAGGTTAAATAACAAAATTAGAAACTCACGCTCCTTCTACCCCTCCGGTAGTGTCAGAGGAGATGGTAGCAAATGGAAGCTCACAAACAGCAACTGAAGCACCAAAATTCGATGCAAAACGAGAAGCCCTAACGCCGCCACTCCCGGCGCCAATAGTAAACAAGTCGTAGTCGTAATGAGGCTCGGCACCGTTGGTGGAATCCGCTCGGGTGGCAAATCGACGAGACTTGAGGATAGCATTCCGACGATGATCAGAGAGAAAACCTAGGGCGAATCTACGGGAAGAAGATGATAATGATTGAGGGAAAATAATGAACGGAGCCGGTCGCCGATTGATGAAGGAGAGGTAGGGAAGGCGGGGAAGGACGCATGAGAAGTGAGGGTAGATTAGTAAAAAAAACCTTGTTCTACTTAGTTCTAGGGGGTAAAGGGTGAACACCCGTGTCCCATCCTTGTCCAAGTTAGTTCCACCTTGTTCTACTTAATAACACACCAAACATGGGACAAGTGTGTCATGTCCTGTCCCACCCTGTTCCACGCACCAAACGCACCCTTAATCCCGATTTCATACTATTGATATCATTTTCTTATAAGTTCAATATATTTGATACAAATGGTTCTTCTTTTCTTTTTAGTTTTATAACTTTATATGAATATGAATTCAAACACTAATACACACATACATATATGTATACATATGCCGAATTACGGAACGTCTTGGAAAACGCCGTTGCCTTGCTGTAACTCGTAACGCTTGACCTCGCCGTCACGCCACGCCTCACATGGTTGATCTGATGAAGGTTTCCATGAAGATGGTCATGAATTGAAGAAGATTACATTACTGACAATGTATACATCATGCAACTATGAGCTAATGGCAGGAATGGTCCCTCAATCAACTATACATATTTACAATATAAGTAACAAGCAACATCATATCAATCCTGCATAATTTTCATCTGAATGGATCACAAAATGGACATGCAAAGTTGTTCATTGTGCTCTCTTTCAATTCAATTCAATTCTAACACAACTAGAAAAGAAAGAAGCTAAATATGCCTTTTCCATTAACTCTAAGCTCTAATACATTGTAAATACATACATAAATTAAAAGGTATTTGACCAAATAAGATCGTCCAGTTCCTATAGAACCTATCACTAAAATACCCCTAGAGATTTACAAAATACACCAAGTAAAAAGGACAGCATGCGTACTTGTTCGCTTTCCTTTTGGTTCTGTGGTTTATGTTGTGGCAAATAGCAGATAAGATCCATATGTCATCTTCTGCTCGTCTTTTCCTTGCCTACAAACGAGAGATGGATGTTAGAAATCAAAACTCAGAAAAAAAAATTATCTGAATTCTTCAACATACAAAAATAATACCAAATATGTTCGATTTCAGGGGAAATCGAACAGCTTTTGTTTTCAGATCTTTAATTTTAGTTTTCTCAATCGTTGCAGGACCACTGCTACTTTCACCTCTCAACATTGGCATTGCAACTCCTTTCTTCACCTTTTCATGATAAACCGCAGGTGGCGCAAGCCTCAAGTGTGGCATGTTATCTACTTGAACCATCCTCTTGTCTTTATGAAGGTTGGTCAATATTTCATACTGTTGAAATCACCACTATTTTAGTCAGTAACCATCCACATCAAAGAGAAAAAATAAGCAGATAACCGACCAACAAAACCTAACCAAACAAACCCAGTATATCCCACCTGAAGATGGGGTATGGGGCAGGTAAGATGTACACATACCTGACCCCCACCCTAAAGAGTAGCGCATATGTGCAAAAAAAGGACATAAGAACAATATTCAGAAAAGAACTTGAAAAAATTAAGGCAGTGTTATGATTTGAAAAACGAGTTAAAAGTAAGCAACCAAAATCAAAACAGACAAACCGAACACCTAACAAGGTAAGATGCAGATAACTGACTGACCCTTGATATTTGACGATCAAGTGCATCGTTCTCATGTAGTAGGTGAGCACCAGTCCCTTGTGATGACTTGTGTTTTGATAAAGGCTTACTCACCAATCCGTTTTCAGCAGGGACCGGGTTATTTCTAGACCTTGCTCCCTTTTTCTTCGGCATACAAATGGGGCAACCTGAGGGTTCCTTCCCCTGTAATTCGCAATGCAAATGGCTTGCATGCCCGCAATTGTAAACTCGAATGCCCGAGGCAGACGAGTCCTTGGTCAGGAGACAATTACAGATACAACAACCAAGGCTCCGAGGGCCATGTCCATGAGAAGCTCCTTTCTTTAGTAATCTCATGGTATAATATGTATCATCCTCAATCAAAGATCTGGCAGTGTCCTGATGTAACAACAGATATGAATCAATGCATAAGTTGATAAATTCAAGTGAAAAACCTTCCAGTTACAAACGGTAAAAAAGTAGAATTCAGCAGGTGGTCAATTTATGGGTCAACAAAGAAAGATGTTTTATCTTTGAAACCCATTGGAAGGGGTTTACACAAGGAAAAAAATCATGCAGGACTGACCGACTCCCCTAATATGATAGCAAACTGTACTCAACAGGCTTAAAGTTAATATTTGCTTCTTATTCTGATTCTAAATTTCTCCTATTCATGTAGCCCATATGGATTATTCATGTGAATAAGTAGATACAATGCACCAGCTTTGCAAAGCCTGAATGACACCCTTTATCCTGGCTAAAACAGAATTTGGATAAATGTTGTGTTGTTATTCATTTAGCCAAATATTACATTACAGCTCGACCAGAAAGCAAGATCCAACATGTAGCTACAGAGAGCCAACATATTAGATAAAAGGACCACTTGAACAAATTCCCAAAAGAATTATGTAATGTAATTACGCTAAAAAAAGGCCATGGATATTTACGCTTGCACTAAGTTAATAGTTCTATTAAAAAGAAAAGCAAAGAGCAGATCAATCCCCGCAAGAATATGTTCTAAGATTTTCATTTTTTGTTTCCACAAGACATCTTCCCAGTTAGACACATTAAAAAGATTTCAGTTAGGAATTATGTACGTCAACAGCTCCTTGGCAGTAAAATGATGCAGCAAGAGTTCGAGGATAAATTTGATGCCAATTCTAGGAAATATAAGCAACCCAAATGCAATGTATATTAATGCATGATGAACACAGCCCCCCAAAAGAAAAGATTTTTTACAGAAAATCAAGCTTACCAAAATTCTTCTTTCAAAATCATATGTTCCAAGCATTCCCAGTATGGTAGCCTTAAAATCACCGAACTCTTGGGTACCATTATCAGAAAGAAGTTTCATCATAACAGTTGGTAACCGAACATATCCTATCATTCCTTCCACGATCTCTTTAATGAAAATAGAGAACAATTTTCTCAAGATGTGAGCACTTTTATCTGACCCTCTGATCTTCCACTTAGTTCTGAGTGCTTCTCCACCTTTCTGCTTTCTCTGACTTTCAGAGCAAGTGCCAGTCTGGTCCTTTTCCTCAGAATCCATCTTATCAGCACATGGATTTGTTAAGGGCTCACAAAATCTGCATCAAGACTATAACAATTACCCCCATGGAGAAAGATTAGGAAAGTAGCATGACAATGCGGGAAAGTTGTTGCATCACATGCACGTTCTTGAAAAAAAACACCAAATGTATTCCCAAACATTTTGCAATTGTTTCTCATTGTTCTTAGATCTTATTTATTAGTTAAATGAACAAAGATGATCTCTAAGATTTGATTCCCATACAAGTACTTCTCATCTCTTCTTTCCATGGGAATCTTAAGTTGTGCAATGTGTCTTCATCCCAATCTTATTCGTTGAAATCATGTTAAAGAAATCAAATAGCTGATGAAAGAAAGAGGGAAAACGAATGCAGTCAGAAAGAATCAATAGGAAGACTAATACCAAGTTGAGTGAGGAATTGAATACTGCAACAGCATTTTGAGATGCCATACAACTAATGATAAAACTAGTCTGTAACAAAATTGAGTCATAAAAAGATGAGCCAGTGAATTGTAGCACATGAAGAGACTATCCTTTTTCTTGTGGGTGAGAGGGGGGGGNCTTACGTATCAAGCAACTGAAACCAGAGGGCCTCGGATTCGTCGAGATCCAAACGAGAGCTGTTCCTTTGGCACAATCCAACACAAGTATGCACAATATATAGTATGTCATTTACCTACAATAAGAAACTAAGATTATTGTTTCTTTCATTGACCATATGAATTATGTTTATATGAGAACGGATAGGAGTAATAGACCTCCTTTTTCTTTATGACCGCATTGAAATGATCCACCCCAGCATCATCATATACACTTTGAGCAGCAGCATCAAGCATGCTGAATTTATCAGTGAGATCAGAAAGAGTGAATGAAAGAGCACTTCCAACATCTCCAACCCTTTCTAATAAGAAAGCAGCAGCATCTATGATCCCATGTTCTTGGCACAAGCGTAAACAGTGGTCTACCCTATAGCTTTCGCAAGTCTCAAGGAAATGGAGGACAGAATGAGGTTCATACTGACATAGCAACTGCAGAAGAAAAGGCAGCATACTTTATATCCAAGTGCAATAAAAAAAGTGGATGAATCTGCAGTTTAACTAAAAACAGCCAATCACGTAAAAGGAATATTGTGGTGGAAACAAATTGGAGGATGATAATGAGAAAGGTCCTCAAAAGAAAAATACAAGACCACAAACAAATCATACGAGTTCTCATATATGAAAGAATAAATGCTGGAAGTAAGGAATCAGAAGTGCACAGTAAAAATAAGATCATTTAAAAGAAATTTAACAGATATTTAAATTGGATAACACAAGTCCCTGACATGTAGCTTACACAATAGAGCAAACAATTACCTCAAGATACAGCTCAGTCATTTCATCAGTTACATGAACTGGATTCTCACGCAATAACTTTGGGAACTCAGAAATTCTTTCTAAGAAATCATGTACTCTGTCAGTCTGATTCTTTACCGTTCTACCAGGAAAACACAGAGGTTCTCCCTTTTTTAGAGAAGTGAAGTTCAAGGCGCCCATCGAATGAACTTCAATAACCGTCTTAAGGTAGAGGAAGAGACTTCTCGGATGGGATCTAAGCTCCACTAAGATTTGTTGGTATTCTTGACAAAAATGCTCAAGAACTAGAAAAAATGTGCCCTCTCTGTCAAAGTTCAGCATGGAAAACTTGTAATTAGAAATAAATTATAACATTAAGAGTAAAGCTAGAGCAATTCAGCATTTAAACTAAATCTGTGTTGTAACCTGCTTAATTGAACTAAATCTGGAATTCGCGAAATTACTGCAGCATCCAAAGAATCAGGCCTCTTGTCGCTCTGCTGGCGCAACAAATTATTGATAAAGGAGAAAGCATGAACTGGTTCATCCACGTCTTTCATATAGCTATCAAGAGCCGCTATATATTGGTGTTTGCTGTAATGAATGAAGCCGCAGACCTAAATGAAAAATAAACACATTTCTTGGTCACATATTGCATTCCTGAGTGTTGNGGGGGGGGGGGGGAAGCAGGGAAATGGTTAGAACCTGGTAAAAGTGAGCTTTCTCACACATGTCTAACATGTGTCTATCATCCCAATCTGTTACTGGCACAACTTCCAAAAGTGCTAGAACCTCCTTTTCTCTTCTTTTAAAGAAATCCACACTTTTCCTTCCATCATTTGGCAGAATGTTAGCCTCTAGTGTCAAGTATTCAAATATCTGACCTAGCAATTCACTTGAGACTTTGGCCTTTCCACAGGCAACAAAATAAGAAATAAACTCAAGTAAATGACTTATATCATCCTTTGAAGGCCAATTTGTGTCAGGTTGAGCAGCCGAAATGCTAATAGATTTGCCAGTTTCAAGCACAAGAGCAAGAACGTCAACAGTCTTTTGGATCAGATCTTGACTTCGAGATGTTGAATCCTCTTCAACTGCAAGCTCATGCAAAAGATGGTCTGACTCTGGACTTTCATCTATAAATGCATATCTCAAAACATCCAATGTTGCTTCGGTGTCCATCTCTAGGAGATGATAGAGATTCTTATATGCATCTCTGGACGATAAACTTGCCAACCCCCATGAGCTTGGAGCATTTGAATCCTCCAGTAAAAAGTGTATAAGCTCCATTCTTAGAGAAGGCAAACGTGTAGGGGAAAGAGCTCCATGCCCTGAAAAACAAATTTTCAGTAAAAGCAAAATGAAAAACAAGCACATTGCCAGTTTCAAAGGGAAAAACTAATTCATTAAATAAAAGCCATACCTGGAGGAAAAGCAAATCCTGAAAAGCAGTACTTCAAGTAAACTAGCATCCTGTACCTGTTTACAAAAGCCAAGGCATGAAAACATGAATTATGCAACAAGAACTGATAATTAGATGTTCCACAATAAAATGGTAATAAAATATCAAAAGGAGGAAGAAAAAATAAAAATAATATGATACACCATATCCACAATGGAGGATCATCTATGCTCAATCCAAAACTTTCTTTTTCTTTGACAAGATCCATATATTGAAGGCTATAATTCAGGCATGGTTTTGATACAGCTGGTCCAACACCATCCTAACTTTATGTCTGAATTAAGTCAGATCAATTGCACTGCACCAACGCAGTCCAAGACCATGGCTTATTTATGTGGTTCATGTTTATCACTTCACTTTTAAGGGAATAGCAGACCTTAAAGATTGGAAGACTGCCCCCAGCAACATTGAGGCTTGCTCTATGTGATAAACTGACAATGAAAATAAGTTGAATCTGAAAAGAACTTTTATCTAACAGGACCAAACAGATATCATAACTTTAAAACTATCAGAAGAAAATATAAACTATGATATTCCATTAAAGTGACATACCCAAGGGATGCAGCATTCTCACTATTGTTGTTTCTAAATACCAGCAGCAGCTCCTCTAAAGGTGTCCTGAAATCATCTAGACCTTTATTGAACAAATATATTAGGGCCCCATACAAACTGTGTTCCTGGCATAACCTGACCACCTGACATACAAGTACGAAATGGCAGCCATGAGAAAAGCTGTGAAGTAAAAAATATGACATCCTTTGATTGCGATTAGATATATTTACTTCCCTTTTTTCCTCACTTTCTAACACAAGATTTATGCTTCATATTTCGGTCAAACTGTACACATGGTTGGTATTTAGGTGGTATATGTTATTTCTGGTGTTCCTCTTTGTTGTATCTCGTACAGGGTAAGTTAAGATGAAGCTTTTTCTTGAAGGGTGTATTTTTTTGGGTGTGTAAGAGATTTAACTTTGCAATTTTTTCTTTTCTTTTCTTTTCTTATGGCGGGGATGTTAAGACAATGGCTTGTGGTAGCAAGTCCTCTAGTAGTCTGTAAGGAAGCAGTTCTTGGTAAAACATTGCTTTTTCATTATAACAAGCTCCTGGTTTAGGAAGGTTTTATCCGTCTTATTGTCTTTTGGTGCTGAAAGGATGTGTTCATAAGTCAGAAGCATGCCTTCGCAGGAAAAGTTTGGTCATGTTGAATGATGTTGGCAATTAGTTTTTAGTAAGTGAAGACACCGACTAGTTGGGGAGTGATGTAATGATGTCTTCAAGTTGATTTGTCTGATTTGCCAATTTCCTGGAGGTTTGCTGAATGCATTGCTGTTTGACTGATGATGTTGACAGTATAAGATGGTTAAAGATTAGGTGCTCGCGTTAGCTATATCTGGTAATCATACAATTCGAATTTCGAAAATGTAACTTACATCATATAGTATTCATGTAACTTACATCATATAGTATTCATTGGTAAGTTGTGTCATAGGTGACACTTTCTAGAACTTTAGGCAGGGCACTTGTTTGTTGGTTCGTGGAAGTATGCTGTGTTCACAGGCCTACATTCATTAAGTGGGATATTTTTGGCAAACTACTGGGAGAAATGCTGTCATGTTTTGGTGAATCATGAACTTTTGTTTCAGATGTATGCCAGGTGCAAATTTTCTAGTACAGCTGGTAGAGTCAAAGTTGTGTAATTCTTTTGTGTATTTTAAAGTCAAATCTGAATCTTTTGGTCTAGCATTTCGTTATAAATGTATTAGATTTGCCAATTTAAAAATAGTCAAATTGCTTAGTGCGAGAGGTAATTATAACCATAGTACTTGCTATTGAAATCTATAGAGATTAACTATTTATATCATAATCAACCTGAAAAATAGATAGTTTACCAAACAATTGAAAGTGGGGGTCCTGGAATGGACATAGTATATCAGTGCTAGAGCAGTTCATGAAAACCCCAGCCCCAGCCTAATCATGCATGTCTGTCTTCACAAACATACCTGGTTGAAGTCCAAGGAAGAAATGTCCATGTGGAGAACACATTGTTCAACACGCTGCAGCCAACCTTTTGTGCTATAATGCTCCACCAACGCTTGCATGATCTTCAACAAAAAGGAAATTTTGTATTCTCAGTATAACATATTAACATCTCATGGAACTTACAAGCACACAAAATATATAAACAAGAAATACCTCAGGTGGTAGTGACCCAAGCATGTCCTTCAAAATATATGGCTCCAAAAGCTCCAAAAATGTCTCTGAAAACAGAAAAGTAATTAAAATACAAAAACTGAATAATATCTACTCACCAGAGTCAGAAATCTGATGATCAAAACCTTAAACACCTACTCAAGTTCAAAGAGTATGATACAATTTAATGCCTATCTCAGGAAGCACAAAGTGGTATGCCATGCAAAGTATATGCTGTTCAAGAACATTCGTCACTGAACATAATTTTTTAAGCTGCCAAATAGCCTCCATCTACTTATTTGTTATCATTAAACAAAAGGTTTGGGTCTTCCAGTAAATAAAAGAAGATAAAAAGTTCCCTTCATGATTTGAAGTTAAACCCTGTACGAGGAAATGGCCGAGAAGAACTCCAAGCAATGCCAAATATCTAACATGCTAGATAGTGCAGAAATGTCCGGGAAACGTATGTGTTGAAACAAGCCACTTGAAGTTTAGGCTACAAGTGGAATTGCAAAATTAAATTTATAACCTATAGCCCCTTTGAAAAGAAAGGAAAACAAGCAATGGTGTCAAAGGTCATTTTTCTCCAGTGGTAACTAGTTATCTTTTCATACTATGTGCCAGCCCATGTCTTTTGGAGACACTTTCATTCATATACTTGCTGCGACATACTGTCCTTATCCAGAAAAATCTGTCAGGAATTTTCATCTCCAGTGCAGAGCTTGGGAAGTACCAGTGAAAAGTAGGGGCATGTTGTATCAACAGGAGGGAATTAGAAGGTAGTGTGGCAAGTTTAAGAAACCAGGACTAATGGACAAAAATATATAAGATTGGAATACATCCAAAGAATTAGTTCTAGATAGGAGAGCACTAAAGGATGAAATTGCAATTTAGAGCCTTGCTTGCTTCACCTCTTTGTGATCTTCTAATGGGTTTCATTTTCTGCCTACCCAACTAGTTTGGAATAAAGCCTTTGAGAATACATCTCTGTTTCAAAAAGAAAAGATAGAAAAACACATAAGAAATTGGTTCTAGATAGGAGAGCACTGAAGGATGCATTCATGTTCTAGAGCCTTCGCTGTTTCACCTCTTTATGATTTCTAATGGGCTTCATTTTCAGCCTACCCAAAAAGGATGTGTTTTATTGAACCAATCAAAAAGATAAAATGAAAACAGTCACATGTTAAGGGGAATACTTGTAATGATTTACCTTTTTGTTGGACAGACTCAAAGCGGGATAAAATTTCATCAAACAGAATGTTAGTTCTCTTAATGTGGACACAGAATTCAACTGCAACACCACCAACACGTGTGTACTGCTCTTTTATCTCTGAAGTAATTGAGGTACTATCAGCCTTTGAATCATTCAAGTGCTCGAACTTTTCAAGTTGGTTGCCTAAAGCCACTGATATATAAGAAAAAACTTCATCTACGTATGCTAAAAGCAACTCCACTAGGTAGGGCATTATTGCCTTTTGCACATCACCCAATGCTCTAGGAAGGTCAAAGACACCATGGGCTTGACCATCATAAAGCATCATCGCCATGTTGAAAGCACCCATCCAGTCACCGCCTTTGCGTAAAACTTCAATGCGTTCCTTCCATGGGAGAAGGCGTGAGACAACAAGATGTGTAGGTCCAAGTAGATACAGAGAAGCACCCCTAACAGCTATACAATTGTGATGAGCTTCCTCTGGATTGCCAAAGACATTGGTGAAATGGGTGTGATATCCAATGAGTTCATCTTCTTTGCCTCCATCAACAGCAAAACTTGTCTCATGTATTAAAGTCCCATCATTTGCATAAAGACAGAGCTGTCCAGCTTTGGTTAGCACCACTAACATCTGAACAACCATAAAATCTCTGTTACTTGTTATATTCTTCTTCAAATGGGTAAATATATAACTATTAAAAATTTACAGAACACCAAGAAGCAAAAGTCATATAGCAACTAGTCAATAAGTGGAAAGCAAACAAGCAAACACAATCAACCTGATCATCCAGCCAAGCAATCCCAATTGCTGAACTGTCGAGGGTCCATTTTGCATATATTTTCAGTTCTGACTTCACCAATTTTGCAACCTGCATTTTGCAATCCCAAGCAATTGCAAGCAGTGGCACTGTTTCGGATTCTTTTACCTGTACAGTCTCTGAAAGAAAATAGCATATTACCAAAAAGATTCAACACAAGGTTCATCAACTCCATTTTTAACATACCAGCAGCAGAACCCTGTGAGGACGATATGTATTTCCAAGCAGTGTAAGGCATAGAACCCTCTCGAACCCCATCAGGTTTAGGAAGCTGAGCATAGACTTCCGGGGTGTTAGAAATGACTTTTGCCTATAAATGAGGTGAATAAATTACAGGTATTATACAAGAACATATTATTGCCATTGTCACAAGACCAATAAGATATGGTATACATGTAGTCTTCTAACAAGGTCGTACCACTAGAGCAGATTGATGAGTGACAAATATGACAACACCTTCTTCAGCCAAAGTCGAGTCTCCTGCAACTACTCCCATCATGCTTCCAATGCCACTTGTGCCAGCGGTGGTGCTTGCAGAAGAACCTCCGAAACTTTCCTCTGAGAGTAAGGGCGAAGCGCATACAACTGTGCTTGTTGATTCATCAAGAAGAGTCTATTTTGATGGATTAACATTAGGCATGATAAACTTGAGACGAGTACAAACAAATTCTCACTTAGTTCATAGGTAGATAGAGCTCACCGAGGTTTTAGAAGTTGAGAACCTATTTAGCCACGAAAATGGAGAAAAACGTATCAACTTAACTACACCTTTACTATCACCGCTAACTATGTTGAACTGACGAGTCACTTGAGAATCCATCCCCAAATATAGCATGTGCACTACTGGAGCTTTATGTTCAGTGACAATTTTTGCTGCAGAGACCCTCTGGACATCCCAAACAGTATAATGCCCATCAGCATATCCTGCAAAAAGTAGGTCTCCTTGCTGATTGAAGGACATGGATGTGACTGGGGCATAAGACCTATCACCTTGCAATCCAAGCATTAACATCTGAGATAAAAATATTTAGGTCACTTCAGCTGATGATAAAGATACTGTAACACATGAATAATTCGTGCTCAAAACTATCAAACAAAAACATGGTCTATGCAAGCATATGCTTCCATGACTTAGAGGTCCTTTATCAACACATCATCATGGAGATTCAATTTCTGGTCCTTAAATAACTCCCGTGTTCATCACAGCTTAAATAGATTCACAATTTTTATTTAACAATAGTAAAAAGAGAATAAAATGCATATTAGTATTTAATATAGCTAATGATGTGGACTGTACAAAAGAGGGTCATGTTTGGGACCTTAGCATCCATGTTATCAGCACAATGTGGAGAGTATTTGCTGGGAACAACAACAATCACCCCTCTTGACATTCCCACTGCAATGTAGTTAAGATGAACTGCTAGGGATTGTGGGGTTCCATGGTCTCGCCTAAATGCTGGAGAAGAAATTGTCCTAGTAATTGTGTTATCATTACTAGTGCTAAAGTAACCCAACACAGTTGATCCCCTATGAAGACCCTCAAGCTTCATTGGTAGAGCAGCTGCACCCTCTTCCCAATGCAAACCTGTAAAAGCATGCTTCTTTTCAAGCTCCTCTGCAACTTGAAGGGGTTTCAGAGAGGAGCATGATCTCCCTTGTGTCCTCTCATCATTCTTTTCAATTCCTGGATGGAGAACAATGCCGTCCGTATCAACAGAAACATCAGTTTGTGCTGTAGCGTCATCACCTTCTGCTTCCAGGCCAAATTCCACATCTTTTTCATCGAGCTTTCTACTTTCAAAATCATTGTTTTCTGATAATACACTTGTTGAATCCTCCTCAACTTCATTAGCATTCACGCGCCCATGAAACAAAGGAAACACTCTCTCAACAGATTGTGAGGTAGTAATAGGTGCAGACTCCGAATAGTTGCCCCCAATGTGCTCATCACTACCGTCATCTAGAACTGACCTGGTACCGACCTTATTCATAAACCGATTCTCATTATTCAAAGGAGAGCCTATCTCTGGTTTAGCAACTGAACTAAGAGTATCATCACCGAAATCAACCTCAAATCCATCCACCTCGGAAGCATTAGGGACATCTGTTGCCATATCCTCACCTGGAACATGTTCACCAGTAAGACTCCACCCATTCCTACTTTCATGTTCAGCAATCACTTCCCCGCTAACTTGAAAATTTTCAGTCGATTCTATTGGCGCAGTTTCTAAATTATCGAGTTTAAGATCTTCCTTGACTAATTTTGCATCTGAATGACTAATTTCTGAACCTGTACCACTTTTATAGCTTATTTCAGAACCAATACTGGCTTTCGGATCCAAACTTTCCGTACTAGATTTCTCCCTTCGCAATTTAATAGCAGCCGCATGTGGCGTCGGAATCGACCGAGAAGCTGCCGCAGCGGCTGCGAGGGCCGCCCCAGGCTTAGCATTCGACCTAACGACACCGAATAAAGGAGGTAATTGGCGTGAAACACTGGGAGTATCGCCTGAATCTATTCGACTAATTAAACGGAACTTTGACTGTCTCGTCTGTCTATCAGTATCAGTTACCAATTGCGAAGGTGTTAATCGTGAGGAATCAAAAGAATTGACATCAAATGAGTTACTGTTGCTTTGGGGACTACTTAGGTCATTGGAGACAAGGTACGATCGGGGAGATGATGATGGAGAAGAGTCATCAGAGTCGATGAGGAGAAGTTCGTCGACGGTGCTGCGGTGGTGGTGATCGTTGTCGTCATCACTGCCGCTGGCGTGGTGTGATTGCAAGAAGGCATCTAGATCGAGTTCCATAGGAGGGGTGGTGTGCTTTCTGGTCATCTTACTGACACGAGCGTTCCTCTGTAAACCACTGAAACAGAGAAGCAATCGCCATGGTTAATTCTTTGAAGTAGAGTTATATCCGTCTTGAGAAAGGTTTACCAGAATTTGGGTTTGGCCAAGGAAAGGAATTTTGCACCTGAAACCTTGATGTTGCTAAGGTGGACATTTTTGGCCCTTGTATCTTTTCTATTTTATAGTGATTTACATGTTTGGTCCCTATAGTTTTCAAAAGTTATATATTGGGCCCCTATATATAACTGAGACCTTAAGAACTTACATATATCACTTCACCCACGCTATTCTTGTCTCATCCTTTCTTAGTTGTGACAACCTCTTTTCTTATATTAAACAGTTATCCAATCTTTTATAAGGAAACCTTGATTCTTCTCTCTAATCGATATAGGATCTTACAGTCCACCCTCTTGGGAGCCCAATCGTCCTCGCTAGCACACTAGTCTGGTTCCTGCTCTGGTATCATTTGTAACATCATAGGGCAACAATACTAGATACTGTCCGCTTTCTCCACAATTGGACTCCCGGTTTTAAAACGCGTCTGGTAGATGAAGTATCAAATATCTTACAAGGCAACCTTAGTTCCCCTACTTAACCGATGTTGGATCTTACAATCTCGTAGTTAGTTTAACCTATAAATAGGGTTCATTATTGTCATTAGTATTTAGATCTTTGATTATTAATAAAACCTTTTGGACTTTCTCTCTACTTTTAAGAGTTTTCTCTTGATTTCCAAATTCTACATTTGTAAACTCGTTATCTTTTGAGGATTTAGACACTTGTTGATCCTTCTATGTTTTCCTATTGCATTAACAGAGTATAGCATAATGCGAGTTAGAATTTTATGCATAAAAGTACAGGGTCGTCACCTTTCTCAGAGTCTGATACAACAGAAAAACAAAAACATGTGTGTGAAGTTGTACACGAGATCTTAAGTCTTACAGTTTAGAAGTGAACCTTAATTGCTAACTATACTTATTCTTAGAGGATTGTACATTCACTCGACACTCAACTTATGCGAAAGGTGCTTATAAGGCACGTTAAGCAAAGACATAAATCCAGGATCGTAAGACTTGAAAAACATTATCTAAGCAAAATCAATCTTATGATGACTCATTATGAATCACGATTAGTCATTATTGGAATTTAGAACCTCAAAAAAGAATAGCATGTTGACGGTTATGGATTTAGAAGCATGATTAGAGTGGCATATTGGTATTCCAAACAAACAAATTAGGGGTTGTTTGTTTACCTGTTAATAGTTTCATTAAGAGGCAACATCTGAATTGTTAAGAGATGAATCTTGTTTGACAAAAAAAAAAAAAGTCTGCATCTTAATGGTTCTAAAACTCTCTGAATGATTCTGTATCTTAGGTCCCCCTTAACTATTCAGCGCCCTAATTTCGTTGTAAATAATTACCAAACAATTATATTTCATTTTGCACTATATCGTGAGAGTCTCTTAATCATTATGACCACTTACTCATTCTGCACCAAACCATTTAGCAACAGCCGAACAACCCGTTAGTCTATACAAAATGGACTAGCAATGTACTCATGTCATATAGCAAGATGCAAAACTTTATTGTAAAATGTAAATCAAGAATAAAAAATTAATAAAACTTCTGCTATTTAGAAGATTAGCGAAAATCATACCTGAAATAAACATATTGATATATGTGTTAAATTAAAGATTGTATTTTTTTTTTTACTTTTTCTTGTAGTTTATTTGAATTTAAAGTTTTTATTATAATTAAAAAAATTCTAAATTCTAAATTTAAAAATAAAAATATAATTTATTTTATTTTTATTGATATAATTTTGGATAAAATAACGATAGAGGATTTATAAAAATTTAAAAAGTTATTTATATTCTATAAGAACTTATACTCATAATTTTTTTAAAACATTTACATTTAATTAATAATTCATAATTAGACTTACCGAGATTACAAAGATGTCATAATGTTAGGGATCAATTTGTCTTGTACTATAATTATAAATGGTTGGTAACAGGGTGTTCAAAAATCTAACCAACCCGATTAACTCAACCTAACATGAAATAATTCAATCTGAACCAATCTGATGAAACAATTATACAATCACGTATCTTTTACATATACATATATTTTCAATCAAAAATATTCTTCATCTTCATATAACTTTTTTGTATATATGCTCAGTAATTGTGAACATGCGTGTGTGTGTGTGTATATATATATACACACTAGAAGGGTATCCGCACAATGCAGCGAGACACATCTCGATTTTAATGTTCTATTTTATTATTTGTTTATGTCGATGTTATAATACGATTTTATATGTTTTTAAGAAAACAATAATGTTTTTATTTTTTGAATAAAATATAAAATTGAAGATATGTCATAAAAATCTGGAAAAAAAATATCAATGTTGATATCAAATCAAGTATTTAAAAGTTCTCATTTTTTATGTAATTTCTTTAATTTAATTTAAGTTCAATAATAAAATAATTAATTTTTGGTTTAATATTATAAATTTTATAAAAATAATAATTAAGTATTCTGTTAGAATTCAATAATTATTCTAATTATATTTTAGATTTTTTATATTTAAAATAAGATGTTTATCATGTATTTGATTATGTCTATCTACAGTTAGTTACACGAATTCATATATGGAGTTTTAATAAGTTGTACTTACGCACAATCTATTTGCAATATTGAGTTTTAAGTAATATGAATTAATAAACAGTACTTTACGCATAAAAAGTGGTTTTTAAGAGTTTTTATCAAATGCTTTATAATATAGTATAGATAGATTATGTGTTTTTAAAAAAACAATAATGATTTTATTTTTGAATAAAATATAAATGTGAATATATC